TGTTAACATCATTAATAATTATTATTATTATTGAACAATGTTTACAAAGTGTGAACAAAAATGAAGGAAGTAATAAACACATGTACGATAGACTCATGGACCAACAAACTTTATGGGGTTACTAGTAAGTTGCTACTAGCACCCATTAAAATGAAATAAATTAGGAAGATTAAAAATTAATAGAATAGGATAATTTAGGATGAGATAAAATAAAAGAGAGATTTGAGCGAGTGGATTTGGGCAGAGAAGAGATAGATAAAAGGAAAGGTAACAAATTATACAGAGGCTGCTGAATTAAGAGAATGAACATGGAGCTGCATTCTTTATATGACAAGCTGAGCATGGACACATGATATGAAAAGAACAAGAATCAATTGGGTCAAAATGTGCCAGAAAATAATGCCAGAATTTTAAGAGGTCTGACTTAATAGTAGTGAGGGAGAGGTCTATAGAGGGAGAAAGTTTCATAATCTTGCGTCATCAATGCTACTATCAGAATAGAATTTAACATTTGGAGCTTTCTTCTTAAACTCTTCTAGTAAGATCTCCAAACTATTGCCTCCTTCAGGTAACATGACCTCTCTTCTTATGGCTGCCTACACGATCAAAACCCTCATTTTTAAATGGGCGTGTCACCACACCGACTGTACAAGTGCTGACTCATGTGACATTCAAAGCGTAGGATGTGATATACAATGTGACATTGCAAGCTTTGAATGTGACATTACAGATTTGGGTATTTTGATACTAACAGTGTGCCATAAGCATGTGACTAATAATGCTCTTACAATGTCGCATCCTTGAACTTTCAGAATGATCACGTGATTCAGTAGGCGTGTCTGTTCTGTTCTGAAATTACCTATGGAGAGTTTGGAATGAACTGCTTTTTTTAAGAGCTTCAAAATGTCTTTAGTTTATGTCAGTCCCACATTGGAATAGCTAACAAAGGGTTTGTGGATTATGTAATGCAGAAGCTTGAACTTGGTCTCCAAAATATGAAGAAAATTCAAGAAGTCCTCGAAATAGCAATTGAACCAGACACAGAGGTTTAGAAAGTAGTTGTTGTGAGGAAGTATTGGGACCTAATAAGTACTCTGGAATCCTGCATTATATGGTTCCTGTCATATTGGGATGCATATTCAGAAAGAGGAGCATAAGCACACAATGCCAAGCAGGGTCTTAGTACAGTGGCTCTACAACTTAATTAAATTTGCCTAAGATAAAAAAATTTTGATTGGTGATGTCAAATGAAAGTTTATACTCGATGTATGTTAATGACTTTTGTCAATTTTGCAATGACTGATATTTATTATAGTTGCATAACAATCACTTAAATTCTCTTAACTTTGGTTGTTGTTATTAATGCGCAACAATAAAATTATTTTAAATTTTTGTTCAAAAACAAAAAACTGTGCTGTATTTATTAGTACCATAATCATTGTCATTACAGTAAAAGTTCCTGGAAAACCTCTTTTAATATATATAGTCTTGTTTCAGGCATTGCAACATGATTGTCCATTCCACAGTATATAAAACATTATCCAAGTGAATATATGCATGCATCATGCTTGCAGGAACTAGAAGCTAATTCGGAAAACAAAATCCTCAAAACAATCATTAAAATTACATAATTAACTGATAATACTTGTCCAAGAATATCATGCAATATTATTCATACAGTGTACATGAATACCTCAGATTCATTATTTTGTTGATCAACATTGTATCTACTGCTGCAGAACATCAATTAATTCATGACCAAAGTATCATTGTCTTGTCAAGTTCAAGTTTCTGCATTATGTAATCCACAAACCCTTCGTTAGCCATTCCAATTTCTGGCTGACATGAACTAATGACCTATTCTAGCTCTTTAAGTTAAAAAACTGATCATCCAAAACTCTCCATTGTTAATTAACTCTTGAACAGACTCAGACAGAGACACTCCTACAAGATCACGTAATTATTCTGAAAGCTTAAGGATGTGACATTGTAAGAGCATTATTAGTCATGTGCTGAATCACATGACAAGCTCGTATGGCACGCCGTTATTATCAAAATTGCATTCCTCATGAGGTGACATTAAAAAAACTATGATGTCACATCGTATAGTTTCGATGTCACTTCGTAATTTTTTCTTCATTATAATGAGTAGGCGTGCCTTGGCTTAAAATATAAGTTAAAATTTCAAGGCAGGATGTTAATTGGAGCATGTTTTTCTCAGAGATAGGTCGCCTTTTTGACTCTTGCGAAAGACAGACAGGAGTAGCAAGTGAAGCATAGTGCAATTACATTATTAAGAAGTTGGAATATGGACTCAGAAACGTTTACTTAATTGACGAGAAACTCGCCATTGCCTGTAAGCCAGAAACTGAGCTAAAACCAGAACAGGAAGTTCTTTGAGATATAGAGAAATGACTGATGAACTTATATCCTGCATGTTGTCACTTTTATGCTACTGGGGCACATATTTGGACGATTTGGGATCTATGTCTGTTGCTTTCCGTTATTCAGCTGAGGTCACTCACAGGCCTGGTAGAGGTTGTCCTGTGTTTTCTGTTGAGAAGGATCAGATAGAGTATCTCCATTTTTGCACTTTTTGTGGCCAGAGATAAGCAACCTGTTAGGTATATCACGTATGACTTTGTATAGAAGAGATTTTGGGTTGCTGCAAACACCAAATAGGATCGTAAGTAGTCATGAACTGACTAGAATCATCCAACAATTACATCATGATAACCCTTATTGTGGTGAGACAATGATAATGGGACATTTGAGGGCAAGCTGAGGTCAATAATCAGATCAACAGATCCACTCAACACTGCTTTACACTGGCACACTTTTCATAGACCATATTAAGTTCCAGGACCTTATTCGCTATGGCATTTAGGTGAAAGGCTTTTTGTAATATACCCTTAAGTTTAATTATACCTCTTTTTATTTATTATTATGAATTTATTCCTTTTTATTTGTGCAGATGGTCACCACAGGCTAGTTGGGTTGAGATTTGTGACCCACTGTGGTATCAATTGATACAACCATTTAATAATGTTCATGAAATGCTCAACTAATAGCAAGGCTTCCACCGTACTACAATGCTTTACTGAGGCTGTTCAAAGGTATGGTCTTCCCTCAAGAGTACAAACAGATCAAGGCCATGAAAATGTTTTGGCTGCTCAGTATATCATGGAAAATTGTGGCCCTGGACAAGGTAGCATGATTACTGGAAGCTCTGTCCACAATCAGCTCATAGAGCGTATTTGGAGGGATATGCACAGATGTGTGACATTATACTATAGATTACCGTCTATCTGGAAATTTTTACTGTGATTTAAATTTTACTGGATTAGAACTTCACAAAAATTAGATTACCCATATAATTACATGCCACATTCAATAATACATGACACAGTCTTATTTATTAAAAATTCAGTCACAGCACAATTTTAAACTGCAAAAATTTCCTACCACACTAATTTCCTGATCTACGGTATTCTATTTTCTGGAAGAAAGAGGATCATCGAACCAAGTTAATAAGCCCCATTTATTTGCTCTTCATTATGTATCCTTACAAAGAATTGATACATCACTAACATCATTTAAAGAATGATAGAATATGCATAGCCTTCGGACTGAAAGCAACCATTCACCATTACAGTTATTTAACACTGGAGTTTTGCATCTACAAAGCAGCGACTACGAAGCCATAAATTTTATTCAAAGAGTTGACGGTGGATGTGGCACTGACTATGATGAACCAGTTGTCGTGGATAATGATGATGAGGTAGAGGATTGCAAATGATACAGAAATTTGATTAATTAATTTGCTGTATTTTCCAAATGCATTCATAAATTGAAGTGTTTTAAAATTTTACTAACCAAAGCATAATCTACGTAAAGACTAGTGTAATTTTTGGGTTTTGGCAGCAATTGTAATTATAATTTTCATTATTTGCATTAACTACATGTAGTATATGAATTTAAAATTAATGCAAATCATTTCCAATTTCTCCTTGTTTTGTTTAGAAATGCAAATCTCATTGTCTGTTTTTCTCTACCTACAGGGGTTACACGTCCCAGAAACTAGATTTGGCATCTCCGAATTAGATTATCAAAATTTGTGCAGTACAGTTGATTTTTCAAGAGAAACTAATGACCATGGAAATTTTTTACATACAAACTGTAGAGTTTTTGCAAAATCAATGCCCTAGTTAAAAATAATTATTGATTATTATGATTATTGATTATCGTGATTTGACCAATGGTAATGATAAATGATACAACACACATTATGATTATCAGGAATGATAAATGAATAGCACAAAATAGTCAAGTGTTGTTTGTTGTTGATAGTCAAAAAGAATCCATTATCCATGTGTAAGTGTCATCAGAGTGTACACATTTAAAATTCTTCATAAATTCTGGATAGGATAGATACATTGCAGACAGCTCCAACAAATTGCTACAAGTGTGTGAAGTCGGTCTGCGCGCCAAGCCCAAGAGCACATTAAATTGTATTTCGATTTTAGTAGTTGAGCAGACTTAGCTCCCAGTCACAAATCTTAGGAAAAGATGAACTTCTTCAAGTGTCATGCTACCAATATATGTGACCCGATATGAGAAAAGCAGGCTATATGCTCCAAAATTGAAAATTGAGATTTATACATTTCTTAGTTGAGCATAGCTTTTCCTTCCTTTTGGTCTTTGTTCCCTGTCATTTGACACATCTAGTGCTGCCTTATAATTATTTATGCAAAGAGAAGTCTAAATGGATTTAACTGAGTTACAGCCATTTTTATTATTATATTTTGCATTATTTACAGGGTGCACAACAATAAGAAAGGTTTGTATATTACCTTTTTAAACTTATTACGGGCAAACTTGGTATCAAATCAAAAGAAATTCTTAATAGAATACATTTTTGATAAAATCTCAGTTTTGATAAGGTACCACTGTCACAACTTTGAGAAGCCATATCTCTAATTGATAATTCCCCACAGATAGCCTGGTTTTCTCATATCAGGTCACATATTGCCGAAGGTAATTAAACACCAATCTCTGTGCCTTGTTCATGACAACAGGGTCCTGTATAAGACTTAAAACTTTGATAGGTGTAGCACTTAGAGTTTTGTACAGCTGATGTAAATCTGACTGTGATTTTGCGTGCCAAAAATCTTGGTGTTCTGATGGAATACCAGAGTAAATCATTGAATATGCCATCATCAGACTGATGAGAAATATAAAGCGAGCTATGTTAGCTAGAAGTTGAGAGAGGTTGCTTGGTGACATTAGTTGCCTGCAACCATAGTTGCCCAATACAGTAAGAAGTTGCTCCTGGACATCTGGTGGAAAAGTGCTTGTAGAGGTCAGTGAAGCAATTTGTACAGCACCATGCAAAACTCTCCAATCAACATCACTCACATAATCAAGGAAAGAATTCATAAGAACTCTGCTTTCAACATCTACATTAGGACCAAGGAGTATTGCTGCAAGAGATGGGAAAGATATTTGTATAGGAAGAAAACCAGTACACAAGTACCCATGTGATAATATCTTTCCAATTGTAGGCAGCAATGATAAATCAACATGTGGACTAATACTGGCACCAAGAGCTTGCTACCATCAAATAACTTCTGATATGCAAGCTGCCAAAATGCTGACATTACATCTCTAGATACCCCACCAAGGTCTACAGCATTCTCTCCAAAGTAATCCATTTGTAGTGGATACTTTTTAACTATTTCGCTGTTAGTGTTGTACAATTTCAGTAAATCTTCAAACAAGGTGATGCGCTTGATTGTATGAGGGCCAATAACAGCTGCACACGAGGACACATTTCATGAACTTAGTCCTAGACTCTTTCTCTGTAGATAAAATTAGGTGAAGTACATTTAAAATACAGCATTATTCATTTGCACGCACCAATTATTAGCACCCTTTCAATAAACACTGCATCAACAGTGCTGTCCTATAGTAGAGAAAATAAGTATATGCCTTGCTAAAACTATTATGTACAGCAAACAAAAGAAGCCAAAATTATTTTGAAAAAGTAGCAAATAATAGTGTTAATATTTTATATTTTGAATCTCACCAATTTAGTAATTTCAGTTATCCACTCTCCTTTACTGAAATAGCTTTCCTCAGTCATTTCTACAATCAAGAGAACTGGAGAAGTAATACCATATTGAGACAAAGCTTTGTCATCAAGAAACATATCTTGTCGAGGGACATCTGCAGTGCAAAGCTTGAAGCGATTTCCAATATCAGTATTAGCAAAAACATACTGATAGACCAGCTAAATAAAAGTAACTTAAAAACAGAATAGCAATTTAATACAAACTTTGGTACTGTCTTGAGGCTGGAATAAAGCATTCACTACAGTCCCATTTGTCATTCTGATACCTAACTGGATACAATCCTCTGTATGAACTTTTTTTAATAAAAGGCAGAGTATTGTCTCTTTAGAGGGTTCTCAGGCCTGTAAAACAAGAACTGCTGCTTGACTGTCCTATAGTTAAAAGCCAAAAGTGTAAAGTAACATTGATGCAATACTAGCATCACATGAAAATCTGACAAATTTGTATTTTAATACTGACAACAGATTACCAGAAGACTAGGGGAAATGGTGAAAATTTTAGGAGGAAGTGGAATGCATACATGGCAAATGCAAATAAATTAGTAACTTATAATATTTATAACAAAGTAATTAACTATAAAAAATAATATTAAGGCACATCAGAAAACTGATCACCTTCTCTTGATAAATTTGAAGAGACTCTGCAAATGCTTCATTTTGTTCTTTGCATTTTGTGTGCCATTCATCATATTCCTGTGGCACAACTCAATACATAAAGTTTTGTTATAAACTACACCTCTGACTTCTTTGGTTTCTTAAAATCCACCACAAGCAATTCATCGCTGTCATCATCACTGAAATCCCGCTTTTGAGCATCAACTTTAGCAACTTCTACTTCACAGGTTTCATCCTCAGCAACAAAAGCACTATTATTCTCATTCTAGAAAGAATGATGTACATTAGCTGTTCACACTGATTGCATAACATCATAAAATTTCAAGTAATTACACATAAAATTTACAGTAATCCTGCAATACACAGGACCAGAAATTGCAGTATAAAACCGGTCACGAGCGTATAATCATATTCATTGATGTTTAATTATATTGATATATTTTTAATGAAATTCCTTGAGATACATAATCTGTTTCCTTGGAAACAAATTGTGAACATGGCATGCAGTTGTGCTTTTGGTAAAAGAAAAGGCTACTACAGTAGTTTATTGCAGGAAAAAGTAGATGACAGTACCAATAATGCTCAAAATATGGCTAATGGTTTTGATGATGATTTATTTGAAGTTGAGAAACTCGTAGAGAAGAAAATGGTGAAGGTAGGGTCAGTTATTTCAGTACATGGTAAAAATGGTGGCTCATTGTAGGGGAGAAGTTATCATTTAGTGTTATGGAAAGACTATTCTAAAGAGGAAGCAACTTGGATTGATTCTTGTAATATTAGAGAAGAGGCTATAAGGTTTGAGGGAGCACTGAGGTGGTTTATTTCGCTCTAACATTTCATTATAGGATGTACAATGAACCCAGTCCACCTACAAGAGTTGTACTTGATTCTGTTAGTGACTTAAAAGCTGCAATTCATTCTAGTCTTTTAGCAGGACTGTTAAAAAGATGTCACATCACTATACCATTTCCCAGATATGTATTTCGCTTTTTTTTCCTGAGTCTAAAGGAAACAAAGTAGCAAAGAAGCCGGGGAGGCTCTATAGTAAAACTGATTTCTTAAATTTGTCATATTATAAGGAAGAGATATTCACCGCATACAATAAGCACAGAGAGGGGTGCTCTGTTTTGTTTTCTGTATACATGCACAATTTGTTAAATTCTCTTCACCATGTTATGATAGCAATAATACACATCATCTTAGAAACTTTACAGAGACCCTGCTAATAAGAAAAAGAAAGACAAGAGACCTAGATTAAGCATTATAGTTACAAAAATATTTCTAATTGTATATGCTACAACTGCATGATAAAAATATTGGGAGGGGTTTTGGAGGAGGACAGATACATCATGGCAGACCTGTAAGCATGCTTTCATGCATTCAGGATCAGATGCTTTCTATACTGTGTTGATAAAGTACTAATAGGTAAGGATAGATTTTGGATGCATACACGTATGCCCCAACACTGATTTTGCTTATGACTCTGTTATCAGTTTATCTGCAATAATTAGCTCAACATTGCCAGGCTGTGTGTCATTTTTAGCTCTTTTTGTAAATATGCCTTTAGTCCAGTATTCACTGTCATGCTTCTCGTAATGCCTTTTTGTTCTAGCTGTGTGGGACAAACCAATAAGTCAAGCCTCTGTTAGTAATATATCGTTTGGTGGATTTAGGTGATTGCTTGATTGATAGTGCTGTCTAGCATCATCATTTTTTTACTCAACACCTATGTACATATAAATAGCATGAACATAATAATCATTATACCTTGACCACTGAAGCGCTTATTACCTTATTGCTTTGTCATAAGCTGAGGAATATGTTGACAAAACAAATGCATGTAAGGTGTAACATTGCTCTTTTGATATCCCTGCATAGTTCCAAGGGCAGTAAATTGTTGTATCCATTCCTTGGTCTGTAACAATGCAAATAAGTGAGTGTATATTACACAACTCCAATTACATGTGCATTTCTGCCCACATATGCCCGAATTAGCAACCATCACAATAATTATAAAAAATTAATAGTAATTAACTTAAATTAAGCCACAGCCCCACTCATAAAAGGAGAAACAAGGATTTTACTTCAGTGGCCTTAGTGTAGTGTTTTTAATTTCCATACCTTCCTTTCAACAATTATTACGTCTTCATTTGATGGTTTTCTTGTTGAAATTATCTTATAAATGAAGTAGAATTCCTTAAAAGAAAAACATTTTTGCATGATTGAATTTAAGTACCGTAGATTGGGAAATTTTTGTGTTAAAAGTAATTGGTGTGAATTTTTTCAAGGTGTTTAATTTTTGTTGGTTGACCCATCCACGAAATTTTTTTAACACAAAAAATTTTGGATGCGTTATAAACGGGACACGTGGCTACTAACTTTTGACAGTGGTGGGCTGCTATTCGATGGAAGTTGCTCGTGACAGCACTGAATTTGACAAGGAGCCTCTTGGGTGAGAGCTTTAGGCCTTCATTAGGCTTTAAGAAGAGCCTTGTTCCAGCCGTGCATGCACTACTGCACGTTAGAATAGACTAATTTCAGTAATCTAATTATTCACTGTAGAAAATATATCGTGTGTAAAAATTTCGTGGGTCACTTCAACCACGAAAATATTTTAAGAAAAATTTCCCGATCTACGGTACATTGTTCTTACTTCCCATAATTTCATTACTTCATTTCTATGTCTAGGAAGCAATGCTGGCATCTTTGATGGTAGCCTCTGCATGAGTGTTTTTTTATCATTACCCCTCAATGATGTCCAATCATAGCCTTCTCTTCCTCGTTTCTTATCAGATCTATTTCAATCATAATGGTAAGAGATCATAACATGAGCAATGAACCTGGAAGGTTAGTCCACATGACTGAATAGCATCCACAGCACTATTCATGTAATGAGATTCCTTACTGACAAAAACGTTGCTTTCATCCTGGTAAATCATTTGCCACATCAGATTTCTTAACAAAATATCAGTAATTCTTAGAAACATATGTAATTCATCCACTACTACATTACTGAGCTCAATGTTAAAAAGTGGCTCATGAGATACGACACATTCCTTCTTTGCAACTTGCTTTCTTATCGAACATAATGATCCTTGTTTTGCTATGTGTGTTGTATCCCATCTACATGTCCAATAATATATAATCATTACTTAATGTATTGTTTATAGTTACCTGTTACTTTTATGTATTTCACAATAAATAGACATGAATTGTTAGAGTTTGCCTCTTTCATTCCCATTGACATTAGGATGATCTATTCTATGTATTGATATAATTAAAATAATAATAGCACTGACTTTGTAATCACCACCAAAATACATTGTTAGTTGCACTTCTTTCTCTCTAATTGTAAGAAATCCTTTCTCTGCTAAACCATTTATTTCCATTATAACTGGGGCAAAACCTTCTTTCATTACGTCATATGATTCTTTTCCCTTGATGATAGCTATAGTGTGATTGCCTATTATTGTTGTTATTGACTTTAATGTACTTGTAGCATATAGTAACAATGCTTTTGCTTGATAGTGATTCATCCAGTGACGGCAAAGAATATAATAGTAAAATGAATAAGGAAAGAGAAGAAAACGGAGCACCATCACCACTAATTTTGACTTCAACATTATGTAGCTCCTATATCTAGATGATAATTACATATAAATCTTATCTTACCAAATCATAACTACTCAGTTTGTCAGTCAGAAGCTTTTCAAATGGTAAGTAATAACTACTGTATGGTGGTGGTAGTGGCTTAACCTCTGTATTTAATATCATTCTGCTTCTTTCCTCTTTTACTAGGTATGGACGGGGAAGATTAGGATACAGCACAGACAACTCGTGATAAAACTGATCAGAGACTCCATAGCAATCAAGTAGATAGAGAACTTCATCAATATTTCCATAAGCTGTTGAGGATGTAGTAGGAGGTTGTGAACTGTAACTTAGTACAACTGTTTCATCACACGGTGTCTTAAACGATATATTGACTAAGTCAATATCGTAAGTATCCGTAAACCATAAAGCATTTTTACATGACTCTTTTTTAATACAGCAATTTTTCTTCTCCTCTGTCTCATTTCATCTTCCTCTAGCCCTTTCTCTGAGAGATATTATGTGTAACTATTATACATTATCTTATTAATTTTAATTCTGAATTATAATTTTTATATCAACAAATTTTAGCTGTTTGTTATAATATTAATTATTACTAACCTGAATTCGGAACACTTGTGCTTAACGAATCATCTTTCCTTTTTATTATTTTTTGTAGGGACTGGATAGTTTGCTCCTTTTTCTTCACTTCAGACCTGCAGAAATAGTCACGAAAGTTCTATGCCGTCATCTGCTTACTGTGTTATATCATTGGCTTGCTGCGGATGTACTAACACTTTATCTTTGTAAATGTCAAACCTTGTAAATTTCCTTTTAAGTGTATCTCTTCCTCTTCCACTCTTCTAATTTCACTGCTTAAAATGCCAGCTTTTACAGATAATCTCTTTTTAATTGATTTGCTGAAGCAATGATATGGCATGTCCATCTATTTTGGCATTGATTGTATCAATATATGAAGTGCAATTCACCAAGTAGGATGAATATAGTAGGGCATTAGGCACTTTAATGCCGCACAGAATATCTGCTCCTCCTTTGCTGTGTTTGCTTGCTTTAGCACCTTCAATTAGTACCACTTGACTACACATACTGGACACAGCCGCTGTAGTATAAACCAACTTCTATGCTTTTTTTACCGTGAAAAGGACATATAAATTTTAAGCGATTGCCATTTTTTGTAATAGAAATGAAGTTCAAAGGTCATATAATGCCGTCATAACTGAGGAAGTCCCTTAATACAAAATACAAGATAGATGGGAGGGCACAAAGTACTGTGAAAAATTAAAATTGTATGTCTATACAGTAAAAATTCGGAATGCGAGTGAGTGGTGTTCTGCGGAGGAAGGACAAGGTTTATCTTTTGATTCTTCAGTAGATAAAGACATTGTTGGACAGCTTAGATAACCTTCTTCACCTATAAAACAGGGGAAATGATAGTTACAGAAACATGGACTGGTTAAACATCAAGCAAGCCTGATCACCATTTACTCAAGAACTAGCATTGCCTTTGAATATACGGAAAATTTACAGAGGTCTATGTTACATGACCTCTCATTTCTGGTCCTGAAGCTTTCTTGTTCTGAAACACATCAGCTGCATCAGCTCCTCCTTCTTGTTCCTCAACTTTAGTCAGTATATAAAACTTTCAATCAGCCATTAACATGGCTATTGTTGATTTCTCTCT